TCAAAACGATGATCAGCGATTTTCAATTTTTTTTTTAACTGAAATCAAATATAAAAAAGTCTCTAAAAGGTTAAATCACAAGATTTAATATTAATGATGAATAGGCGGAATCTTTTTCCCTTGTAGTTTAATTTATTTTGCATGACGGCACACAGTCGACGTAACTTTTTTGTACAAATTGCATTTTGTATTCTCATTGTTCAAATCTATGTGACCGTTTGATATATTAAATTAGAATATGAATTCATAATAACTTTGAATAGAACATAATATTTAAATATGTTTAGTGTTTACGTAATCTTATAATAATTCTATAAATGAATTCAGATTAAAGAAAGTTTTTTTAACATATATGTACATGAGTAAATTTAATTTTTAGGTGAGCGAAGGAAATTTCATCAAGAGTATGTTAATTGAATTAAAAAATATAAAATGTATGAAGGCATCAGAGATCTTTTAAAATGTTAAAGTAACGGTTTAACCAGTTTAAAATCAAGAAGGGAGACATAATGTGGACGTGTCATTTATATGCCCGCGTTTATAATCATTCGTGTGCTATCAATTCAGTTAATTTTGCGACAAAGAAATATAAACTCACTTTATTTTGAAATCTCATTTTAAAGAAGTGTATACTGTATATGGAGCCACTCATCTTACAACACAAGTTTGTGGCCTTGACGTTACATTACAATAAATAGCCCTCTTCTTTAGTACGACAAGTGTTTTAAATCTTTCAAAGCCAAATAGGGCATGCATATTTCAGTTGTTACCTATTTGAAAGCTACAAAGATCACCTTTTAGAACATTCATTTTGTCTTCCTTTTATACTAAATAAAGATTTTAGGTCATTTTTTATAAGCCAATTCATATACACGGTGACTGGTGAATTACTACCGATACTTGAGGACGTGATATTTGACGATCATATATGACAAAATAAAAATTAATATAACATAAATATTAATAAACTTCTAAGTAAAGTTAACCAAAAGTTATGTAATTAATTACGCATCGTGTGAACACCCTACAGATTAGGTATACACACACACACACACACACACACACACACGCGTGCGGCGGCGTGGTGTTGTATCAGCACGCCGCCGCACGCGTCCAGACTTGGAACACTTGGAGCGTGTCCTCACTTTATTTATTTATACGGAAATTTGGTCAAAAATAAAGTACCTATTTTTTTTACATAATTCGAATGAGAATCATGTACCGAGTATTCTCCTTAAATATTGATAGTAATTCACCAGTCACCCTGTATACTCTTTATTCATTATTGACTTGGAAGAAAAAATCTCTAACCAAATAAATATACAATAATTAAACCAGTAAATAATCTCATTGGTCTATAAATTTCCTTATTAGTTTATAAATTAAAGTCTATATTTAAAAAACAAAAGTTTGTTGATAAAATTTTATCATAAAGTAAAATTATCAGAGAAATTAAGAAGTTTTTTACGAGGAAAACTGTTGAAATAAAAATAAGTTTCAAAACTGGTTATAGATCTAACGTTCTTTACTTTTTTTATAAATTTACAAACTTTTATTGCGAACTTATTTAAAGTTTGAAGACGCTTTAAAATAATTGTATTAAAAATCAAAACTGTTCAAAAGAGTTTCCTTTAGAAGCACTTTTTACAATCCATACAATATTAAGATGTGTCTATCAAATAAATTCGTTTTTTCTTCATTGCACTTTTAACAGTGGAGCGTGTTCTACTTCCAGTAATGATACTTATATAACATTTCTAGTTATGTAATAACTATTATTTAAATTGCTTTTAAGAAGTATCGACATACAAAAAAATATTGGTAGGTGTTATGCAATTAACAATTATTATCATTACTACTAATGTAATATTTTGTGTTAATGATATTTTTAGCTTATTGGTGCAATTAGTACAAGTTTAAAGAAATACTGTTAATTTTGAGGGTTTACTTTAAAAACTGTAAATAATTTTATTACACATAAGTAAGACGAAATATGTCAATGGGATAGAGAAAGTCCCTTTAAAAGTTGTTCATTATTCTGAGTTGTTTATAATAAGTACTAGTTGAAGTATCACAAGTATCACAAGCTATTAGAGAAAATGTTATCAAATAAACCAAACTGTTTACGCCTAAGTAACAAAAAAAACTTAAAAACACTTGGAATAAGAAGATTTTTTTTTGGAACTTTTACGAAAAGAGAAAGGTAAACATCTTAAGATTGACATAATAATTTAACTATGTTAAATTTCATCATTTACAAGAAAAAAGAACTTAAAATGTTGTTTTTTTGTAAGTGTACAAATGTACAGCGGTTAAAATGAATGCGTGGAATAAGTTTACATACATAGTCATTTGTAAAGGTGTAATATAATTCAGTCTTTATATATATATATTATATGCATGTAATGATTGCGTCAGGTGAATGTATAAAAATTACCTTTTAAAATCGTAGCATAATATGAAAATAATCTACCCAAGCTAAATAGTACTTGCATATTTAGAAACCATGTCAATTTAGTTCTTCATATTGTATTGTTCCAAGAATAGTTTAGTTTACAATGAATTATATTTAGGTACGAATATATGCCATATTCTAATATAATAAGTCTTTATATATAAAAATATATGGATATATGTAATGTTAATGTGCTTTCGGAAAAAAAGGCAAAAAACATTGTTGATTAAACATAAGTTTTTCTAAAAAAAAAATCAGCTTTCGGTCTTGATAGGCATTTCATTTTATTTAGCTTTTCTCTTGAGTAAACAACGAGAAACAACTATGATACAACAACAAGTAAAACTTGTTAGATCCAATTCGTCACATAAATAAGTTTTAAGGCTCTTTCGAGAATCTGTATTAGAAGTTCTCTAATGTCAGTTTAACGGGCTTTGTAAAGATTTCAAAATTTAGGTGTTATACTAACGAACTGGCTAAGTTATTGTGAAGAACAGGTCTTTTCCATCTGTAGATAACGTAATATATTGAACAGAATAACAAATAATTTTCATAACGTGTAATAATAAATTGAATGGGACTCTAAAAGAACTACTTTTTTTCAATAGTGTTATGTCGAAAAATGTTTGTGATACTATAACATGACATGTTTCATAAAGGAAAATAGTTGACTAAACTGAGATTGATTTATGATTTTTTTTTAACTTTCTTATTACTTTTACATTTTGTTTAAGTATAACATCATTATATACTACAACAAATTTTTTTGCATGTCCAAATTGTTTTCGATTTCGTTGTTACCGCTATAGGATATGTAGATACATTCATGTATCGATACGGCTTGAGCTACCGTTTTCCACCCGCACCCACTCCTTGACATACAAGCACACCCCGGCTTGTAGTAGAAATAGGTGCTCACGTCTGTAACGTCTGAAAACGACGTATTTTGAGGACTGGATATTTGTGTCTCGGTCAGAAATAACAAAGCCGGGTTTGTCTCCAGGAGGTGATGGGTGGCATTAAGATTGGAGTGTGTGATCTTTATGTTTTAAAAGTCTACTATTAATGTGGAAGGGGGTGCCGCTTTAGAAAAATTCATTGTTGTGTTTAACAGCTATATTATTTTTAACAGGTGAAGAGGATGACGATGATGATGACCACTAACCATTCTGTTCATTCCACATGAAATCTGAACTGAAGATCACGTTTTGTGTGAAGGGCCCTCGATCCGACCCGCTGTTGTAAACTGGGTTCCACTACGGTCTTCTACTTGTTAGAGTGAATAACCCTGGGGTTTTTCTTTTCTTGTCCCCTACAGACCAACGGCGAAACATTTCATCGCATTTCTCTGGACCCCATGCCAATGAAACATGCTCAACCCCAACCCCTCAAAACGGACTTAGGATAATGCAGGACAGAAAATCATTGCACACATATCGAAACGATTGTAAGACATTGTTTCCTTACTGCCATTGCTGTAACATCTATCTCTCGCAGGTCTTAAATATTACCTATTTTTAACAATATAAAACAAAGCAAAGTCACTATAGCCGAAAACGGCTGGGTAGGTATATATATATATATATATATATATATATATATATACATATATATATCTCATCGAGAATAGTACAGATTTTAAGTAAACAGATTTCATTAGAATATATGTTGCTTCAATTTGATTTTTCTCCACACTTGCACGTGTTAAAAAAAAAGGAGACATGAAATTGTACCTACAAAGGTGTTAGGTCAGAAAACATACTTATGTTTTCATGTATACCATTATTTAAAAAAAATATTTTTCTCTTGTTCATAATATAATAGATTTAATATATAATCTCAAAATACTGCAGAGAGTTGCGAGGTTGCAATTTGTTTATAAATAAGTGCTTATTTATGTAATTACTATTATTTTATTAACACCGCGTATGTGCTTCAACGGAAAGTAATTGATAGGGTCTTACAGCAACAATGTTTGGTAAAAAAGCATATTTTTATATTCTATGAAAATACATCTTTATCATATGATCAATACAAATATATTTCTGTAAGTATCTTTTATTTTTTAGTTTTTTCATTCATCAAAACTGTTGATCAACAAAATTGATATCTAATTATGATGCTGATGCAACAAATAACACCACTTTCATCACCTCAACACTGAACTGAACTGATTGAGGTCAAACTATCAATGTACCATAAATTGCCAGATCGAACTTCAGTGTTGACATTGCTCATCCAGATTTGTTTTTATTGGTATGTACTCTATTGAAGTGTTTGAATCTATTTTCTTCTTATTGTTAGAAGTGGTTCCACTTTGAAATATACGCTCGCTTCAGTAACTGTTCATTCAGTGTTTGTTGTCCCACGCAATGATTATATTACACCGATATTTTATAAGGTTGTAATCGTGATAGTATTGTGGAACTTTTCAGTTTGACTATGAATGAAACACAAACAACTCCGAGTACTCAAAGTGTTCTGAGAGATATAAGGTTTTGTTGTTTATAGTAAAATATTGTGTTTACGGAAGAAGAGAATAAGTTTGGTGTTTATTTTCAGGACAGAGATAACAGATAATGATACAAAGGAAGAAATTAATCGTTATGTACCAGCAGACCACAGACCGCGGGAGTCGAACACATCGTAAGGCAATATTATTAACGTTTTGTTATATAAACAGTGGCACATTTAATTATTTGTTGTTTTAAAACTACTATGGTTTAAATTATAAAATTGTTAAACAATATAAGTATTTTTTTCTTTAAATGAATTTGATTCAGTTTGAATCTTTGAAAAGGATGTGCAATAGATCGGCTATTCTTATTTCAGGAGTTTCGGAGCTCTGGCCCATCTTCTTAAAGCCTCTTTGAGTTCTGGAGTTTTAGCGATGCCGGTGGCATTCAAGAATGCTGGACTTGTCACTGGCATTATTGGAACAATATTTGTTGGTCTGATATGCGTTCACGTAACTCATATATTTGTAAGTTTCCTCCAAGTTTCCAAGACATGTTTTTACTTCAGATAATATTTAATGTAACTTACTTAATCTAAGGTTATCGTTACAAAATTTGTCAAAATTGTTAATGCTTCACCTCCTTTACTTACAAATTTACTCAAAGAAATTTTCAATGGGATTAAGTCCTCTTAAAGCAAGATATATTTAAATCTATTTTTAACAAACGAAAACTTTTGCTTATGTATAACTTTTATTACTTTCAAAACTTATGTCTGAATTTGTAAGAAGTTATTCCCACAGAGTAAAATAAAGTTGTTATCTAAATGTTCGAAACATTGTTTACAAGACTAAAACAGTTGTCAATGAACAAAATTTTATTATTAAGCTCAATATCGGTTAAGCTACTCAAGACGATGTCCACTCTGTTTATAACTTAGCTATAAATAAATTTGCAAAATGCTTTCAGAGATACCATTTTATGTTAATACATTTTAATTAAACTCTATTTAAGAGATTATCTTGAATTTGTTCATTAAAAGGATATTGTATATTAAATGTAGTGACTGTATTTTATTCCAGGTAAAAACATCACAAGCTCTATGTGTAGATATTAAAAGACCATGTTTAGGATATTCTGAAACTTGCTATTCAGTTTTTAAAAATGGCCCAAAATCAGCCCAAAAATTTGCCTCTTTGGCCAGGTAAAAATATATTGAAATTTAAAATGATGCATGGGAAGAATATTTATACTTTAAAATGTTTACTTACGATACTTTAACAATTAAAATGTTTACTTTAGTTAGGATAATCTGTTTTAGATTTCTAGCAGATTGTTCCCTGGCTGTTACACATTTAGGAGCTTGCTGTGTATATATCGTGGTTGTTGCTGAGTGTTTTAAACAAGTATGGTAAAATTAGGATGTAATTAAAACAATCCTATAGAATATTGAATCTTTGTAATTCTCGCAGGTTTCTGATGAGTATTGTGGTCCATCCTGGTCAGTATCGACATTCTGTGCTCTGACCCTGATAGTGTTAATACCGCTCACACAAATCACGAAACTAAAGTACTTAGTTCCATTCTCAACATTTGCTAATTTTGTATGGCTTACCTCTATTTGTATATCATTATATTATTGTTTACGAAAATCACAACCGCTTTCGAAAAGGAATTTATCTACATCTTTCTCTGGATTCGTTAACTTTATAAGGTATATTATATATTTTTAGAGTGTATTAATACATGGATGGTTTGTAATAAAATGCATATTGTGATCAATTTTAGTACAAGTTTATTTGCTATGGAAGGCATTGGAGTGGTTATGCCTATTGAAAATGAAATGTTGAAGCCGAATCAGTTCCTTGGATGTCCGGGAGTCTTAACAATAGCTATGAGTGCTGTGGTCGCTTTATTTGCATTTGTTGGATTCACAGGATATTTAAGTTTCGGCGAAGACGTTAGGGGTAGTTTGACACTCAATTTGCCTCATGATGAAATGTGAGTGTCACAAAATCATATTTCAAACAATGTGTCCTCTATATTATATTTAATTTATATTTTTAGTTTAGCACAAGTAGCGAAAATTTTAGTTGCTTGTGTTATGTTACTCTCCTACGCATTAATATTCTACGTGCCTTTAGAAATTCTGTGGAAGAGGATTCAAAATAAATTTCATGAAAATAATCATAGGATTTGTGTTGCTTGTATAAGGTTGGCAGGTACAGTTTTCACCGGTAAGACTTGTTTATATTTTTCGTTTATTTCCAAGAATTTTCTTTACACTATACGATTATTTGAATGAACCGATTTCATAAAAAAAAACCATTTACAAATTAGTTATTTTATATGTAATTCGAACGAAAGTTTCCTTTTTTTATTTGATTATAATTCTTTATAGAGGATTAAAGCAAACACACAATGACTTGGGTTTATTTGAATGCAAAATTATAAAGTTAAATAACCGTACAGTTGATAGATGACTAAAGTTTGTCTGTTTTGTGACAATTATTTGATTTATGTGCAATCCTTGAAACTTTCATAAAGAGAGAATTGGTCATTTATGGAAATTTTCTCTTATATTAGATTTTTATACAATAATTATATTGTTTTAGTGGGCCTTGCTTGTGCGATACCTAGACTAGAACTCTTTATGGAGCTGGTCGGAGCCGTATGTTTGTCGATACTGGGTATTACATTTCCTGTTATTATTGAGACCGTTTTTCTTTGGGACAAAGATATGGGCAAATGGAAATGGATTTTATGGAAAAACACATTTATTTTACTATTTTCGATTTTGGTTTTAATATCTGGAATATCGTGTTCTATTAAGACTTTGTTTGAAAAATTGTGAATTTTTAATGGTAATTGATAGAATAAAAATTAATTATTTAACGCGGTACTGTTCGTTACATAAATTAAAAAAACCTTGAAACTCTTAAAAATCCCTACTAATATTATAAATGCGAAAGTAACTCTGTCTGTCTGTCTGTCTGTCTGTCTGTCTGTCTGTCTGTCTGTCTGCTACGCTTTCACGCCTAAACCACTGAACTGATTTTAATGAAATTCGGTACAGAGATAGAGTTGACCTTGAGAAAGAACATAGGATAGTTTTTATCCCAGACTTTTGAAAGGTTCTCTTGGAAACGCGATATAACCGAACTCCACGCGGCGAAGCTGCGGGCGGAAAGCTAGTGTACAATAAATATAAAGAAACTTGTAGTATGTAATATAATTGGTTATAAAATGTTTGCTATAAAAGAGAAGTAACACATTTTCAGGAGTATTTTATTTTCAACTGTTAATTTGCACGCTTATTTTTTAAATATAGGGCTTATGATATTTGCCCTTCATATTCGGTACAGGTAAAGTCGTGAGGTTAACTATTTATGTTATTCATAAAATATGACACAGAACAAAGATTTCAAGTAAGTTTATGGATGTTTAAAAGTGAATGTTCTTTATAACAGATTTTTTTAAGACAAAATTGGTAACAATTTTTTTTATACAGACCGTATTTTTTAACATCCTAAGAAAAATGTTGCATTCTCGTTTTTGAAATCTACAGTAATTTTAATGTGAAATTATTTAAAAAAATCTTTTAATTTTAATATGCATATATTGTTGAGTTTTATGTCAATGTCGTATACCTAATTGACCTTTTATATATATAGAACTATGTTTAGTGTATTTTATATAACTTTCGCCCAATATGTAACATGTGTGCTTGTTTTTTTATAATTCAGTTTGTGAAATTACGTAGAAAGTCAAAAATCCTACCGACTATGCGAACTAATGCGCCTACATGTAAAAGTTAAAAATAGATCCGGTAGCAACATTGCTATTTACTATGGCCAATTTTTGTAAACTATAAAATATTTTTTAGTTTAAGACATACTTAAGTTGTACTTTTCTTAATTTATTCTTTATTTCTAATATACTGTTATTTTTAATAAAACTGAAATATTACCTAGAAATCAAAGTAGAAAAATAGAAATAGTTGAACAAACAAAAAGTAATGTTATGTTAATATAAATGTAAACAACAACTTATTGGCACAAATATTGTTATATTTTCACGATAAGTCAGTTAAAATTGGATAGCTATTTTTACTAAATAAACACGCCATACAAAATAAAGATCTGTTTCAATACTAAAATATAATAAGAATAGAATAATATACTACACAAATAATCAGACGACAGGCGACATTAGTTGGGGTAAGGTTAATCTGAGATTTATTATTAAATAACAAGGTTTCATATTTAGAGGAAATGTTAATGTACCAGAAAATTTAAATTGATTATAATTATAATAACGGACAAAGAATAATTTTAATGAAGATTAAGAACATTATTCACTTGATGAGGTCAAGTTCACGACAATTTTGTATCCTATTTTGTTCTTACGATGATTGTTAAGGTAATTGCAGTAAATTGGAAAGTTTTTTATAGTAATAAGCCTGCGAAATTATAATAGCAATTAAAACAATCAATATAATTTCTCATGTAAAAATAATAATGCTAGTTTATTTTTTAATTTTTTATGGTAAACCTACGTTCGAGCAACCTACCCTATGGAAGGTTGCATTACCCGTGGCATCACTTGCGATCTGACGACTCTTCAAAAACTTAATTGTATTGACTAAATAAAATCTGAGATTTTTGCCAGTCATTTAAATGAAACTAATAGTATGCGGATATACTACACGACGTTTCTGTTACTTTATAGCAACTTTGATTACAGGCAGACGAGATCACGAGAGACGGGCGGGCATTTCGTCTGCCCGTGATCACGGTCGCCGTAAAGTAACCGAAATGTCGGGAGTATGTATTTTTTATCAAAGTTAAAGTCACTTAGTATATCCGCAAAATATAAGTTTCATATATTGACTAAACTCAGTGATTAAGGTGAGCGGTGCTGTAATAATAAACATTGTTCCAGGGAACATACCTAGAGAAGGCGAAAACTCTTCCTTAACTTGATGATTCAATAACTTCTGTGAGAACTTGAATATCGGTAATTATCACAGTTTTTTTATCTATGTCAGGTCAAGTTGGTGGTGGGTTCACTAGGTCAGAGATGAGAGCAGAACAGCATTTCGTTTTGTTTAGCAGATTAAGTTAGGACCAAGTTAACTTTAACTTACAATCGATGTGGCTCGGGAACTGAAAGCTACAGGAGTTTGTGCTAGCAGGGATTCTAATACTTTTGAAGATGGCTAAGGAAGGATGTTGTAAATGGGAGACCACAATCTCAGACCCTGGACAGAGCACTCTTGATTTCAAAAATAAATACTTGACGCCTTTTTTTTTCAATGTGATGTAGGTTTTTGGTCCATCCCGTTAAGAAAAAATCATTATATTATCGCCTGTATGACAATCAACGCTATCAATTTCAAAGATATTTGTTAAACATGTAGAAAACCAGCTTAAGTCCCTGATCTTAGAATTTATTTTCATAAATTATACCTTGTATACAACTGCTGGGCATAATTTTTAAAGCTAGAAAAACATTGTCTGGCAGAAACTTGAGCAATTTTAAGGGTAGTGGCCTAGAAGGTCCTTTGGCCATACTCGAACAAACCACAAATCAAGGCTGACTGCTAAAGTTTCACCTTACCTCTCAAAAGTTCACTTTTGGGAATGGAAGCTTAGTGGTGAATTAGTTATACGAAAAGATCACGAGTCCAGCTACCACAACGAAAATCCTATTGCAAATGATTTATGTTTATGATAACTGCTACTCTGTCCAATTCTGAATAGATAGTCTTAAATATTGACTTGTTTTCCATTGTCGACTCACATTCACAAAATCACAAACCCTTGTCTTCGTGATAGAGGAGGTGGCGTTAGCAGAGATTTTGTTTCAAAAACGTGTTTAAACTGGCACGTCTTACAAAATTGGGATCGAGATTGTTGCTGGGCTCCAATAAATGAAGTGCATTGTATATAGTGTATCTGAGTATCCTACAGGAAAATAGTTCCAAAAATAACCCAGGTCTCCAACACTTCGCTACTGGACAAAGGATTCATCGAATCTCCCTTATCTTTGCAACAATACGTCTCACCTACATCTACAAGTAGCCTATTCACTATCAACCAGATGCCAAATGGCCAGCTCACCCGATGGACAAGCACTAGATACCTAACTCAGTGCAGGAAACTTGTGTCGTTTAGCTGTGGTTTTCTGTAGGGTTCAATAAAAACTGTCATATTAATAAAAATGTTTATTATCCTACAAAATATTAGTTTAGAAATAAATATCACAATGTCAAAATGTCATATTTTTACAATAGTTCTTAGTTTTTACTTATACGTGAAAATTGATACATTTAAAACATTGTACTATTTTCTTACCAGTCATGTAATCTTTACTGAAATAATGTAAAAAATGTTTGAAGTAAAATTGTAATTTAGAGAATTTTATATAACATTTGAAATTCTAGGAATAAATAAAAATTGCTTTCATTCTCAAAATTCTGGTAAAATAGACAAACCTGAGCCATTCTGTGGACATATTTGCAAAACGGTTTTTATTTATTGAAGTAAAAATATTTTCGTGAATAGAAATATCACGAAATATTTCTTTAGTATAAATTATTTTACATAAAGGTCCAGAATATTTATCGATAATGTTTTACTTATAAGTCTATTTTTATAATATCCTAAAAGTCATTGTTAATTACTTACGTATACTTTATTACTATATTACATACATACATACAAGTGGAATTTTCATGAAAGCTTTAAAATTTCATTTCGTAAAAAATATTATCATGTCAAAGTAAGGTTTTAAAAGTTTAGTTTTTTATTTTAATATCACCTGTTGTTTATATGTTCACGAAAATCATGTTATTTTGTACAATACCTATTACTAAAATCACATTATATTTATATATGTATGTACAATAAATATTTCATAATAGCTTAAGGTAATTTTTATAATACATATTGAATGCACCTAAAGTGCACCGTCCTATGCTCATAGTAAATTATTATTAGTAGAAGTATTAAGAACGTCGCTAGTAGTTCACATTTTTATCACATTAATGTTTCATAAAATATTTTACGTTCTTAGAGTTGAATTCATGTTGGATTCTAAATTGTGTGTGGTATTGTATTTTTCGACTATACCCACTATTGATACGTAAGATCCAGCGAACAAAGCAATGAACGATAAAATCATTACAATGATATTTTTCCATAAAATCCAATTATATTTTCCCAGGCCTCGATTCCAATTGTGCACAGTGTCTACTATTGCTGGCGTCAAAAGTCCAAGACTTGACAGGAATATCGCACCGCTTAAGTTGATGAATAGCTCCAAATCAGGAAAAGCAGCAGCAATAGCAACTGAGAAATATATTTTCTTCATTAGTATACGATTTATAATATGTAACTCAGGCAATACTAAATTTCTTTTATCACAATAAATTTATCCATAATGCTTTATTTTTCTTAGGAATAATACAAATAATCGGTGTAAACACATTAAATTCATTCTAGTTAAGGATAATTTTAAACCTACCCGATCCTACGACAGCGGTAGTTCTGATAGTAATTTGCATGAAGTTGTGGTATTTCACAGATATCTTAGTGTGCAATTCGCGCCAGATCATTTCCATCGGCACGTAGAACTGTAGACTATAAGTAAATAGAATAGCGAGAGCCATCAAGATCTTCGCGCTTTGGGCCAAACTGAAAAAAGAAAATATAATTTAGTGTATAAAATCAATAAATGTTATAAAATAGGAATATTTTCATAAATTTGAAGTGACACATCGTTATATTATTCAGTATATTAGCTTTATTTCAAGGGAAAAAAGTGAGAAAATTATATAATATGGGTATTATAGATAACTTACATTTGATCTTGTGGCAGATTCAATGTAACACTTCCGCGTACACTGTCTCCATACTTGATGTACCCAAAGAAACCAACAATACCGTACAAGGAAATTACGATTGTCATTGCCACGTTAAGAACTCCAGGGCATCCCAAAAACTGTTGAGGTTTCGCCATCTCGTTTTCAACTGGCATCACCACTCCAATGCCTTCCATAGCGAAGATAACGGTACTAAAAAGTATAATATAACATGTTTAGAATGACTAGTTTCCAGGGTCTTAATAATTTATAAATCTTCTTACAACCCTTAAAAAACAAGATTGTATGATCTCAGCAAAAAATCTGACTAAATATTTCGAGTAATTTATAAAACGTATTTTGTTTAGTTGGACATCAATTAAATGCTTCATACCTTATAAATAATGGCCATTGCGTAAAACTAGCAACCATTTGCCTTTCAGTAGGATTGGGCAAATCATCAAATATGTAATACATAGTAATGACAAAGCAGATCACTAAGAAGATGTTTGCTACTGCAGAAAATGGCACCAGCCATTTCAAATTCCTTATTTGGCAGATTAAAACGAGAGGAACAAGGGTTAGCGCACAGTACGCCTCCACGGAGAGTTTATATTCGGGATAGTATTCATCAAGAACCTGAAAAAGGATTAAAAAAATTAGAGCTACCACGTGGATTTTTTTAGTAAGAACGAAACCACTTTAAAAAAGTAGGTATACAAAATTTATTTTTGTTCTATTAATAAACTATGTAATTGAAACCAGTGTTTAAGTATCCTTCACATTACATATAAAAAGCAGCAACTGTGTAAAAAGACCAAAAAATCTCGTAAATTTTAAGTTTTTTCTTATAATTATCAAAACAACAAGCACCTATTTTTTATTGCAAAAAACCGGGTTTTTTGAAAATTGCAAATAAATTTTTCATACATTAGATTTTTAATATCGTCATAAATGTCATCTATGGTGTAAAATTGTTTTAGCATCTAAAAAGCAATATTTATTATACTAACTAATATTTGTGTACAAGTCATAAAATTTAACGATAAGTGCAAGAGGCTGTTCTCTGCTTACGTGTAATGTGCGTTTAGCCTATAAACCTTTGTCTAGTCATTACAATATCATTGAGCGTTTCGTTATTTACATCGAAATTGTCAATTTTTTCTAATATGTCCAACAATATAATAGAGATAGTGACGATGAGAATTTAAAACGCAATTTAATGTAAGTAAACAAAATCTTCAAAAGAATATTTAAATGTAACGTTATCCGGATATTTATAAGCTCAAACAAATACACATTTAAGGGCAAAAATGCTTTTCTTTTTATAAGAAGTGTAAAATATTCCATCATGAATTTAGGATTAAGGATTTAGCCCTGACTTGATTTACTAATGGCATTTTGATTACTTTTATTTGTTCTTTTTTTGTGGTGACCGTGTTAATTTAATTGTCAATAAATGTTTATTTTAGTATAAACTTTACCTCTTTAAAGTTCTCAGCGATGAACACAACGTAAACACACAAAGCAGCCAGATACGTACACGTCATTGTGTAATCTATGAATGTTCTGAAATAAAAGATAGTTAAAATATGTTTATTATTTTGTACCTTTAACCAATAGAATGAGAATTGTTTTTAATTTTGTGTCTTCATTTCAAAGATCAGAGTAAAGACAGTAAATTCAAAGATTAAATTTTAAACGGAACCTTTTGAAACAATTTGTCATAATTAATTTTTGCTTTCAATATTGATAAGTTGTTACAACATTTTTATTAATTAATATTTAAGCCCCTTTTGTGAACGAAGATTGCGAACAATCAAAAGATATTTTCCGTCCATTCTCAGGCAATTAATGCGAGTGATGCTGCGGGCTACAAACAAAGTTTTGTTCATTGTAGAAATATATATTATCTCCATAATGATGAAAGATACTTGCCTTGCAAAATTCGCCCAAGGCCTTAATTTTTTCGGTCCGAATTCGAAAGCCGCTCCACAGGTCTCCGCGAATCCCATCGACGGCTTTTTCGCTTCCACACAAACTTCCTGTGATGTCTTAACCTACACATAAAAAATATTATTAGCATGAAAGAAATCAACTTTATTTTATATTAATAGAATTGTAATATCATATTCAATTCAATTCAAATATGTTTTGTTATTTAAATACTTACAAGAACATACACGCAGTGCGTACAAATAAAACCAATAATAATAGTTCCAAAAGCTCCAACCGCTAATCCAGCATTTTTGAAAGCTGCCGGCATCGCCAGGATACCGGAGCCAAGTGATGATTTTAATAAATGTACAAGGGAGCCAATAGTACTGAAAACAAACACAGAATTAAAAAGATATATTTAAATGTTCTTCATCATCTAAAGCATAACTCAAAGCATATATTAAATGACCTTGTCTCATAAAGATTTTCATTATAAATAGCTATTATGTTCCATTTAAGTATACAATTATTTAAAAGCATTAGTTTAAGGTAAGCTACCAATTAACTCATTTGACCTTGATCCCCATTCCACATGTAACCCTTGGCATACAATTCACAGTCGATATAATGCAAACGAACCTGCCTTAAGGGACACATTATACTAGTAGTATACACGAATGTATAATTACTGTTTTGATCGAGATAAAGACATATTATATAAAGAAATATTATTTATTGAACTGACGAATCTTTTGATAGATTATGGAGCATAGATCGAGATATCTTGGCGATCATCTTCAGGTTCAATGTTATTTTCAAGTCATGATTGATGACGAAGATATATGATTAAAGAAACCAAAAACTTTCATTTCGTTTATCTATATATTTTTTATATAAATTTAATTTAATTTACTTGTTATTGGTAGTGATTATTTTGTATTAATTGAAAATTTTATAACAGAATTTACAATGTATTATTTCAGGCTTCGAAAACATTAAAATTGATAGGATCAATTATTAATTATTATAAGTCTAGATTACATTTAAGTGGCAATTTTAAAATGTTATAACATTATATATATTTTAAAATGTTATAACACTATATTTATACTTACGAGTTTGGATGAGACACTTTTCTGTGTTCAAAAGGATTGTACGCCTTTTCATTAATAACATCTTTTGAACCGAGGCTCAGAGTAGACTGGAATCCCGGATTAGCTGTTAAATTAGCTCTGAAAATGAAATTATCATTTTTATATAGAATGGTAAAGGATATGAAATAATAATTTATTTATTACAATTTTAGTTAACTTCAGTATATTTCTTTTTAATAATATAAATAATAAAATTTAAGAAAAATTATAAATCTGAAAAGTTTGAATTTATGCACCCTGGCTTTACAAATACTTCTGATAAAAGAGACGAACGAATAAAGGAAAATATTTGTAAAAAAATTGTTTCCAATTTTGTTGTAATCCCTCTATGAAATTCACGTGTCAATATTCATGGCTTTAGAGTTTTCAAAGCCGTAATCCAGTATTATCCAAAAAGTGATACAAAAATGTTTACATACAATTTTCAAAACACGATATTCTGACAAGTTAATAAATATCTTTGTTTGAAATGACATTAATATTTCAAAAAATTACTTACGTCGAGTTGAAGTTGTCTAAAATAATGGTACCCTTCTTCTCGTCGTGACCCATCTTTGCGAATGTTCTCTGAAATATCAGAAATATTATTAGGTAAACTCATTTTTAATGAATGCACAAGTTTTTGCATGTTCATAATGATATCATTAACAATGATATTCTGAAAACAGCAATCTTTATATTTATAAGTATTAATTAATTCTTCATTTATTAATTATTGTAATGATTCAATAATTATCAGACGAAATTAATGCATCACTAAGTACGAGTAGGTACATAGCCTATGAATAAAAATATCATGTCTCCCGTAGATTGTATTCATCTGTAATTTGAGTGAAATTTAAAACATAGCTTTAAGGTCAATGAAGGTACTATAAAAATAGAAGATAATTATTTTTATCTTTAGTTGTGTTATTCACTTGTGTTGAAATAAATGCAAATTTTCGTCTCTCAACAACAAAAGGTATATGGGAGGTATATTATTATCGGTCAATGACGGTTACAATAATTATAATATGAACTACCGTACTTTACCGTTTTCATATTTGAATTGACAGATTTAAACTATATTTCTTGAAAAAAAAAATTATCAAGAAATGGATTTATTGTTAAAAATATATCAAGATGAACCGTGAATATTAAGATTAATTGACACTCACGGAATTTCGTATGGATTTTCTTGTTTTCGTTCAATCCAGCTGGTGTTGTTTACAATAATTTGTGTATTTATTTAATGTTAAAGTGAGAAACTTCGAACGATGTAAAATTTAAAAATTTTCCTTATTTTAATTCAAAACATTAATTAAAAAAATATAAATAAAATCTAAGATTTCCTCGCGTGCATATTTAAATGAAAATAAGGTTTTAGGATACCATCCTTTATTTATTATTTTATTTTAGTATCCAGTTACCAGTTTCCGGCAGTATGCGAAAAACTTAGTTTCATTTAAAAATATAAACTGTCACCAAAAATAAGAAGCCAGAAGAAATTTAAAATATGTATTTTCTTTTCTAAATTTTAAGTGTTCAGCAATATGCAACAAAATTGAAGTTAAAATATATTTGGATTTTACATAGTCATTTAAATACTAATTATAAATAATCATCCATTCTAAGAATTATAGTGTATTATAATTAGTGCGACAGAAATTGCACCAATATACCTAATTCAGTTTTGTCATTTAATTTAGTTACTGCGAAAACAAAATGATACCAAATATTGTAAGTACTTATGTAATAAGAATACAAATTTGAATGAGAACCAGATTTGAAGGTTGATTTACTCGACCATGGAGACGTTCCCAAACTGACATAACTTTTAAACAAGTTACTAGTTTCCTGTATATATCATTGTGCTCATAAAATACTAACCATATGAGTTGAAATTAATTTTGGAGTTATATATTCATGTGTAACAAAAATAGCTACATCATTAGTGATAATCATTTTTTTAATATCAAAGTAAGTTTTTATCTAAAACTATGAACCTTGCTTTTAAATTACTTAGCGAAAAGTAGAAAGAATTTAAAGCTTTTTATTTGTGAAGCAGGATTTTCATAAAACCTTTTGATGCCCAGAGAATCCATCGTAAGACCTCACGAGCCGCACTTTAAACGAAAGATTAAGCATTCAACATAAAATTATGCGTAATTTAAAAAATCTATTTATTATAATGGATAATTCATTACAGTTTTTTTTAAGTTACAAAGAAGTCGGATTAGTGTTTGAGAAAGTTATACAAAATAATCTTACGCGGATCATATTCTGATAATAATATTTACCAAACTTTTTATATTCTTTGTTAAATTTGTATGACAAAGAATGTTTTTGTATACAATTGCGATGGATTATACGATGAGTAATTTTATGTTTTTTCGTAAAAGAAAATGGTCTTATCGAAAATTTACACATACTTTATTTGATTCAAGATTTTATAATAAATGGAGTGTGAACAAACAAACAAAAATATTTACACTTTTTATATTATAAAAGATTATAGTAATTCGTAATTCAATATTATTTTTAAGGTTAAAATCCTTAATTTTTTACAAATTTCATTAAAACAATGTCTGAAGAACAAAAACTATATAATTATACTTCGTTTTCTTTGTCTGGAATTAAGTTTTTTCACTTTTTCTAAACTAATGACGTGGCTTGTAAAATTCTTTGTAACTTCTTCGCTTTTATAATTATTTTGTCATAACTCCTGATTAGAATACTATAAACAAAGAAAACATAAATTACACAGTCAATTATAGAGTTATATAATTACACGATATTTGAAATATTTTCAGCTTAATAAGATTCCTTGACATATTTACATTATTATTTATACTTATACTTTATAGTGGATTAAAATATTCATTTTTAATAATTACCATATCTAGAGATTCAAGTTCTCTTTCACCCGCGAATTTTTTTAAGTCTACACCAATTTACTTTTAGCTCCCAACCGGTTTAGTATGGCGAATTATAGGTAGCCGAAACACACTGTCAAAATTTAAAAGAATTCAAGAATATTGTTAGGATTATAAATTACGTCAAGATTATTATTACGTTTAAGTGCCACGATAAGGAATATTTATTGTGTGTCTATAAAAAATCGATTTAAGTGAGTTTGATATCGAAAGATATGCATATTAACAATATAAATAAAATATTTTAAAAGGTGAGTTTATTTTATTATTCTATTGTGATATGAATAAAGTTGTAGGTAATTTTATTTTTGTTTAAATTTTAGTAGCCAAGTCAATGTACTAACCAATTTATCGGCTGTGTAAACAGATCGTGTTAATTACACATGTACATTATGAGCAGTCCAAATTGTAATTTTCATGTTTTTATCAAGATAAACACGTAAATATTTACTAAATCATTGCTGACACTTATCTGATGGATGTGCGATTATTAATAGTAAGAAATTAAATCCTAGACGGACTTTGTTAACATATTTTACTAAAATTATAGTATTACAATCGTTTTAGTAATAAAACTAATTTTTTTGTAAAATATACGTTTTTGGAAATTTGGTTTGGGAGTCAATTATAACATAGCTTAAAAATCTTAAAGCGGTGATTTTTATTATAAATCAATAAAAGTCTGAATGTAATTTAAAAAATCATAAGTATTCTAGTAAGTTACGACAACATAATGTCTATGAATTTTCTCACTAGTTTTTGAGCTACTTTATAATATCTAAAAGGTTATATATTGTACTTAAAAGTAAATGTTCTGCTATCAACAGCATTTAGTCAACGAAACAGGTACAACACAAATTGTGGATTCAATTCAGGTGCACTCGCCTAAGGTCATGAGTATAAGGCTCATCTCGGTTCAGGGCCTTTGATGACTTTTTTATAACAGTTTCAAGGTTCTACGTAAAAAATAATCATAATATTTCCTTTATAAGAATGTTTAGCATTATTTTACAATTTAAAAGTTTTGTTGATTATATTTAATATGTAAGGATGGAATGAAGATAGTAGAATAAGCAACTGGTCTTTTTCCTAAAACATTGATAGTTTCTTAATCTATTATAATCCAAAGTTAAAAAGACCACCTATTTATAGTTCACGTGTAGTAAGTGTGTGTCAGATTTATCTGGAGACAAAATATTTGACAGTAAAAGAGTCACTATTGCATTTGAGTTAGTTTTAATTTAAAATTTGTACGAAAATTCAAGTAAACATTTGTAACTAAGCAAAAGTCATTCAGATAATAATACTTTATGTTTTATATTTTTGTTTTATTTCAGTTAGTTTAAGAGAAAATCCTATTATTTTTACAAAATTCCTTTTACTCTGTCCTTGATATTGGTTCGCGGGGTGCATCTTGATTTTGTCAAGTTTTTTCATTTAAACCAGTTTTGAAATCTTCGCAAACTTAAATCAATTCGTTAAAACACAATCTGTATAGAAATTTATTATTTGTTAGCAAATATAAATATATCAAGCTTTTGTAATTAATAATAACAAAATCACAAGAAGTTTCGATTCAAACAAAATTGCTAATAAATATTGTTATAGCAAAAAAATATATAGTGTTTTAAACATTTATAGAATTAATAAAGATTTTGTAAATAAATCGTAACATGGATTTATTAATTTTAGTTCCTTTTAATTTATTGAAGGTTATTATTGTTGTGATACTTAAAACTCTAGGAGTGTCTGTCGACAGAGGTCGAATACTTTATGTGCGAGCCGTTTCTCGACATTATTCAAGGTTTCTGTTTGATTTTGATATATTTTAGGATTCAATTAACTTGGGAGCCATCTACTAAGCTGTAATAAGAGATTGTAAACGAACAAACGTTATAACGGTCACAGTCTCTAATACAAACATAGGTTCCTTTTTAAGCTTTATCCTTTATAATCCGTTGGTTCTTTTGAAAAGCTACGTTTAAAAGTATAAATAAAATGGCGTTTTTATTTGAATGTCATAGTATAATGTCCCGGAGATAAAAAAAGCCACTTAGAAAAGGTCAATCAGATGTAAAACAAGATGTGGTCGAGTTAAGTGAGTTGATGCTCTTTAGTGGGGATAATAGTGGTACGTTCTGCTATTAATGTTGTATAGGGATATAAAGCGAACAGACAATGTCATGTTCATTGTAATTACAACAATGGACTTTAATTATATATCTACTAATTTCTATAATTACTTTAAATGTTTAATCACTTGAAACTATAATTACATTATATAGACTATTCACGAAAAAGTATGAATTGATTATTACCGCCTTCTTACTATTAAAAATTTCGTAAACCTTGAAAGAATTCTTTATAAACAAAATACAAATGCTCCCACAAGTACGGTTACATTGTATTTGACGATATAAATGATTGGTGGCCGCTCCACTTAAGCAATCTCATTAAAGTAACGAAATTGGGTTTTTTGAACAGCCAGAACGTCTAGTTCAATGTTACCAAACCCTTTTAAAAGTATGAAACAATTTAATAATTTTAAGAAATTTGAAAGGTATAATCAACTAATGACAATATTGTAGGGTGTTAGTGGATATTTTGAGAATTTCTTCTTTTGGTGTTAGTTGGCAA